GGACGCGCGCGCCAGCGTGGGGTCCGGCGCCCGGCGGTAGGCCACGCACCGCTGGCGAGAAGCAGCCGGGGTGAGAGCCGGCTGCCTCGAGCCCTCCCCAAGCAGAGGATCCGCCGGGTGTGAGGACGCGGCCTTTCTGGAGGAACCCGGGCTTTTCCGGGCCTGCTGCTGTGGGATCAGAGGGCCCGGCACCTTGCTGCCCTTTGCTGCTTAGCCTGTTGCGTGTTACCTGCGTGGAGCTGGTCGTGGGACGTGGCCAGTTAATGTAAACAAAGCGGATCACAAGATAGGGCCAGTCGACATCACCCCTCTGACTTGCTCCCTTGCCTCCAGGGCCCTCGAACATGTGAAGTCCTTCCTCTTCCCCAGCACAGCACATATGTTGATACTTGGAACTCATTCCCTTTCCTTTTCCGTGTTTCCGTTGTCACGGTCCCTACGTAGGCCCAGGCAAAGCCTCCTTGCCTGTTAGTTCTAGGAGTTTGTTCTTCTTGCAAGACACTTTCAACATGCACCATCTTCCTGATGTGGCCAGTGAGTCCAGTTGTTCTAAGTCAGGGGGATGGGTGGGAGCATGCATAAATCCCAGCTCCACTGCTTCATATCCTGGTAGTGCTTTACTTCTCGGAGAAAGCCCAGTCTTGCTGAGCTAACTGGGGTTGAACAGCCTTCAAGTTTTGTGAGATATGTGAAGGCTTCTAGCAGGCTCAAAAGCAAGAGACAGTATATTCCTTCAGCCATATTCATATCTTACTCTAAACTGATTACGACCTCCTTCATTTAGGCATACAGTGGATTAAATAACAGTTGTAGGAAAGAGATTTGCAACAGGGATGGAATAAGTAGCATGTGCTTTCGACAAAAAGGAATTTGTGCGCTTTTTATTAATAATGCATAAAGGTAGTCTAAGACAAAACTTGAAAAATTTACCGTTGGTTTTCCATGTTGGTGGGAAAACAGAACAGGACCTAAAATACATTCTGATGAAGATAAATGTTTGGGGTTTCTGGATTTTTTTTCTTTTGCTGTTTCACTTTTTGTTTTAATTTTTGCTTGCAATGTTAGGAAACAGTAATGAAAAACTGCCTTAAAAAATAGTATGTTTTGCCCATTTAAACTGCAGCCCAAGAAACACCCATGATTTTAGTTGTGTGAAAGAAACTTTGGAAAGCTGCAAACATGAAAAGCATGTGGGGGGAAGGCAGAGGAGCGGCAGCAGAGGCAGAGGCTGTCTGTGGGTCAGCAGCTATTCAGTTTTAACACCTGGCCAACACTGGTATTTCTCAAGTTGTAGGATCCCAGCTCCCTCGAAAGCTCACACTGTGACAGAACTGGGTTCCAGTTGTTAAAGTGTCTTTTTTACATCACAGTGTCAGACAGTTTGGCAAATGCACAGCTGTGGATCAGCAGTTTGATAAAGCCTGGGAGACTGCAAGGCTTGATGTTCTCTTGGATGGGCACTTTCCACTCAGAACAGGAAAGGACAGATACTGATACTGTCACTAACAAAACCCACTGTTCTGCCAGCTTTCTTTTGTATCTCATTATTTCTGGTAGATTTCTCTCTAGCAGAGTGTGAATTTCAGAGTGTTTATTCAGCGGGGACTAAGCAAAACTATGTGAATGCTTTATGCCTTGACTTCCATTTTTGCCACTGCTTGAACTGAAGCAGGTTTGAATCTCAAAGTAGTAGTAAAGCACTCCTTCAAAAACCAACAGTTAACGTTGTCCTTATCCACTGGAACAATTAAAAAGACCCAAATGGCTGATACATTTTTAGTAAGAGTGGAATTGGTAACTTCTCAGTCTCACTTGTGTGTCTTGAAGCAATCTCAGGGAGATGATTTTTAAGTGCCTTGTATGCTGATGAAGTTGCACAGAGGGGCTCACATGCGCTGGCTGATTTGTTTGAAGCACTACAAGGGTGTAATCTGTGTCAAGACTTGCACTTTCAGGTAGGGATGCAGGAGGTGGGGTAACAGATAGGCAGTGTCTTAGCTAGGACAAAAGTTGCGTCAAGTTCTTGTCCAGGTGGGGTCAGGCTTTTCCCCCTTTGTGCGCAGATACCTACAGATACAGTAGCAGGTTCATTCAGTGGGGTCCTTGGAGGTGGGATGAATATGTGGAGGGGGACAGAGGAGGAGAGGATGACAGTATGATTCTTCCCAGCATAGTTGCAGTCAGCACAGAGCTGATCCACCCATCAGAGGAGACAGATCACAGTAGGCAAAGCATAAACTATATTAGTTTTTCACTTATACAGTTAATATACAGTCTGTAGTTAGAGCACAAGTCATCTCTCTTTGCAATATGAAGACACATGGAAGTATTTTACCAAACCTTGGGGACAATGTTGTTTTATCTTTCTTGTAATACAAATGCTTTAACCCTCAGAATTTGCACATTACCAAAAGGCTTAATGAGAGTCTCTAAGGATACTCAAACCCAGTGAACTGGGCAGCATTCTAAGTTTCTGACCTGTGGAGCTTGGGGGTGAGATCTTCCTCCATCTTGCAGCTATTGATAGAGGCAGCAGAAGTTTGCCCCAGTGTTCTGTTAATTTCGGTGGAATAAGTAGACACCAAAGTCGTGTTAACATGATCATCGCTGTATAGCCGTGAGCAGGTCAAACTGCTTGCAGCATCAAGCATAGAAACCTCAAGCCACATATTCCTGTGCTTCCTTATGTTTAGGGGTGAGTTGAACATGGCCGAAGAATGTGGAGGCTCTGAGGGTCTAATTCTGCCTCTAACAAGTGTAGCTTCCACAGCAGAGCAGGAGTTGATGTCGTTGCATGGACTTCAGCAGGAAGATCAAGCCCATATTTGTCTTACTACAGAACTCAGCAAGTCTGACTTCCACTCCAAAGCCTAAAAGACACTGGGCTCCCTTATCATTAGTTATTCAGAGACAAGATGAGTGCCATTGTATGGCTTCATCAGGCCACTGCTGCCTGAGGTTGCTATCTATGCAGCAATGACTGCCTGTAATACTTTCCTTTGAGCATGGCAATGAGATGCACCCGAGTTGTGTTCCAGTTTGCCAAACTACATCTGTAGTCAGTTAGCCCCACATAACCTGCAACTCCATTTTGCTTTCATCTCATGTTAGACAGTGGTCCTGATGCCAGGGAGGATATTGCAGGTGGTATAGGAACTTAGCATAGGGATCTTTGGACACCCAGTGGAGCTGCTAGTTAATGTTGCAATGTGTTGTTTCTTTTCTGTCCCTCCTTTCCTGAAGCCCTCCTTTGCCTCACAGCCGTGCTGACCTATTTGACCTGAGCAAAGACCAAGAGATGAACCTTGCCTACATTTCTTCTGTTCCACATGGCGGCATTGAACAAGTTCGAATTCACTGGTTACTGGAATTAGTTGCTCTCAGGTAAGCAAACACCTCAAGTCAAAATTTGGAAAAATGTGACACATTAAAGTGTCCAACAGGTGCTCACTTTGATATTTATCTTAGTATAATTGCAAGCTGGTCATGTCTTTGCTTCCTTGGAAGTCAGGTGAGTGTCAGTGGAGGGGAATCAATTTGGGGGTGTATGAGATTAAGAAAGAGAGAGCTTGTATTGAGAAAGATGGGGCTAACCTGCATGCATTACATTCTAACAGGTTAAGGAGCAGTTTAAGGTCTCCTTTCATCTGAAGAGTCTTGTGGGTGTACTGGTCAAGTTTTACCAAGACCATCTCGGGTCATATGCTATATTCATTCCACGTCTCTCCTGCTGCCATGTCCAGGCCTCAGCATCTGGATTCCCAGTTGTACCATGACCTCCAGAGAGGCCTCAGGCTGCAGAGATGGGTTTCATGGACCATTGCATGTACAAGGATCTAGTGCTGCTTTTTTTAACTGGGTGCATCCTTTCTAAAATACTGCTTGGCACAACCTTGAATATAGAGCTTTAGAGGAGTCTCCAATGGTTCCTTAAGCAAGGAAGAGTTCTGCTTTGCAGTCAGGGCATCTACTCAGTGTTATGGAGAGGGCTCTCTGCTGGATTCCAGGCAACAGTCATGCCAACTGTTTTCAAGAGTCATACTGGGTGTTATCACTGCTGTTACTTCAAGTCCAGCAGAGTTTGGTCTCAGTACAGTAACACTAGCAACCACTTGCTACTGAGAAGAACTGCTGGGAGAAGCCAGACTTCGAGAGTTCAGTTCCTGTCCACATCCCGGCTGTCCACATGTGTACCTAGAGCTCCCCCTGGCTGTAGGTCTGGTTTTAGTATTCAGGTCACAGTGTTACGTGACTCCCTTTCCAGGTTGGATGAGTCTTTGGCGAAAGCTAGGAATGGGATGGAATAGGGTGATAAGCATAAATTCAGTCCATTCCTCACCAAAGCATTTCAGGTAGCAATACTGTCCCAAACAAGACTTCTCACCCATCCTGTTATGTGCTTTGCTAACCATTAGCCATTCTAAGAATAGTGCTGAGGGACTAGAAAGATGGCTTACTTTTCTGTCCTTTAATTTAGGAGACATGATACAGCAAAAAAAGTCCCACGAAGATTAAAACAAGCCTGACTTATTGAGAGATCCAAATGAAAGCTGCCACTATTTTATTACTACTTCTGTCTTCCTTCCACTTGGGAGTTTCTTTTTGCATCCTGAATCCATTTGTGCACTGCATCAAGTGACAAGTAGTCACAATGAAAACAGGGTGACTTTAGTTAATACCAGTTAATAGCGTCTTCCAAAAGGATTCATATACATAATAGCATTTCTAGTTCTAGGGAAATACATGTTAGACTTTAGGAGGACAATGCTGGAATTCCTTGCCTTTCAAGTCCCATTTAACTCAGCTTAAACACACTCATACCAACATGCAGTGGAAACAACCAAATACAGATGCCTAGAACAGAAGTGATTGGTCTGTGAGGAAAGACAACCCATAAAAACCCCATCAAAAGTTGCAATAGTTCTTAAAGTTCTGCCTGGCTAAGGCTGTTGCTGAGCTGAGCATATTTACAATCCACATCATTACTGCATCTCTCAGACACAGGAGGATGGGAATTTACCAGTTGTAAGTTTGGGGAAGCAACAAGGGGAAGGAGTGCTCAGACTCTGGAAATGGGATGTGAGCAGAGGAGTAGTGGGTTTCAGAGTGTACATTAGGAACAGGAAAAGTTTTCTTCCTAGGTATTAGGGTGTGCTTGTGTATGTAGGTTTGTTTGGGAAGGTGTTCGGAGGTCCTGCACACAGTTGAGTATTGCATTTGTACCCCAGAGCTGCCTCTGTATGTTAGTCCATCTGTGAATATAGCAGGTAACACAGCTCTTCCCTCCCATCTTTCCGTGTGGAAGTTTCCCAGTAAACACCCTTTCCTGTGCTGTGTCTCCCTCTCTTACTGAGCTATGGGTTTTGTACTCACTCTTGCAGTGACCCAGCTTCAGCAGGGGCAAGGACAGCTGTCACTGCTTACCACTGCAGGAGTCCCTGTCCTAGATCTCAGAGGTTTCTCCTGAGAGGTGGCTTGGGTCTTTCAGGTTTCTGTAATCAGCTGACTTACAGAAAAATGAGTGAGTGCCTCTGAAAAGGAAATAGCCACGACTACACTCAGAGGCCAAAATCCCTTCTGGCAGCCTGTCTCAGCTGTGCCACATGTTGGATTGGGCTTTCCAAATGATTGAGGTAAAGGAATGCGTCTGTCATGGATTCTGCTCAGCCTTTGTAGGGAGTGAGGCACTGACTCCTTCAAAGTGGGACACAATCCTTGACACAATCAAAATTCTAGGAGCATGGAAACTTAGCAGTCAAGCAAGAAGCCCCAGAAAAGCTGTAGTGCCTCAAGGGTAGGATTCTAACCCACTAGCCTCAATATTTAGCTCAGCTTTGACACATAGAAATTAGAAACTTCGCTACTGTTTAGAACCAAGCTAAAACTGTTTGTTTTGCAAAAATGTGCATTTGTCAAGGACAAGAAGACGTTTAAGTTGTGGAAGGACAACCAGTGGACTGAGTGGCAGCAATGGTTTGGAAAGGGAGAGAACATGGAGGCTGCAGACAAACACTGGGATTGAAAGAAGCAACAAGGGCAAGAATACAAGTCTGAACAGAAGGAGTTCAGTGCTGATGCTGAATTCTGTGCATGTACAATTCTCTTCCTGAATGAGTGATTTCCAGAAGGACGTAGAGAGGTTTTTAGTGAGAACCCTGTAACAGCAAAACTGTGTTGTGTCATGGGGTTGGTGAGTAGAGAAGACTTCTTGGAAGATGATGGTAGGTGCTTGACTGAAGAAGAGCATTTAGAGAAAACAGAGGACTAGGAGTTTCCACCACTGTGGAAGGCCAACAGATACAGGCATTGCTTTTCCTCACCGTTGTGCCATCTGTAAAAAGGTGCCATAAATGTTCCTCCCAAGAAGCAGATGTGCTCAAATAAAAGACTGCCACCTTCCCCTTCTCACTTCTATAATGGTCTTTCTCATTATGTCTTCTAATCCCCCAATGCCGAGTGCATCCCTGTATTTTAACCCTTTTCTAGGACAGCAAACCCACCTCTTATCTTTTTCTTTATTCCAAGTTATCCTGTTATTTCACCACCCGTGAAAGGATACCACGAGGCAAACTGTTTTCAGAGAACTGCTAGTTTTATTTTCCAACCAAAAGCACACATTTGTCTCTAGGTCATGTGACACAGGAATATTCATGGTTACGGGGGAACCCAAGGTGTATTTCATGGACTGAACAGTTGCCTGTTTGTTAGTTACCAGTGCCAATAAATACAGCCATTTTGACACCTAGACCACACATTCTGGCCATGCTGCATTAGCCAACAGGAGAGTTTGAGGTGAAGATTCCCAACTCTTTGCCCAGCTCCATGGGACCCACGCAGTCCGCAAGTTAAGAACCCTTTCCTATTCTTATGTAGCAGTACTAAAGTTTGTTGGATACGTGATTTATACAAGGCACCACAGTGAAGAAAAATATAGTCAATCATCTACATGATGGATATAACATTTCCTAAAAGGCATATAATGATTTTATTTCAACATTAGTATTAACCTAGTTGGAATTACAAGCCCATCCCCAGCTCCCCTCCAAGTCACAGTACCTAATTCCTGGTAGAATAGGAGAGAAAAGAATCAGCAGGTTTTAACAATTTTCAATCTTCATACCCTTAATCTTGGTATAACACAGTATAGCAAACATAAACATGCCAGAAAAAGGCTTGCTTTTTTAGTTACCTTTTACATACTCCTTAGAAATAATTTACAGCCTCCCAGCATCCCTACATCACAGCACAGAAAGCTGTTTCCCTGCTTTGTTTGACATTGTCCAACACCAACTTGATTGTGAGCCCGCTCTGCCAATGAAACTGAAACAGAAAATTGTTCTTATGGTTTCTTCTGGTCAATAGTTTCTTCCTAGTAAAAGTCTTAAAGCTTACCCCCCCTCTCTTATGCATAGCCAAGTTTCTTTGCTTAGGTATCCTTTGGTACCATTCTTACAATAAATATGATGAAAAAGAGACTTCTAACTCTTTATTTTTCAGCCTGGATAAGAGAATGGCAACCTCTCTTCATTTTTCTCCAGAGGCTGTTGTGAGGATACACCTTCCATTGGAATCTCTCTTTCTTTTTTTTTCTCTTTTAAAATGAGATTCATCTAGAGTTAAGGGTATTATTGCATTTTTTTTTTTATGTTCTAGGCTGGTAGCTTGGCCCATAAAGATAAAAGAAGTCTAGATTGCTAGGATGTATATTCTTTTATCCTGAAACAATTTTATTTGACTTCCAGTGACAGCTTGCTTTGGCACAACAGCCTAAGAGTGTCTATATTGATACTGTCTGGCAGTAACTCCTGTAAACCCACTTCCTCATGCTAGGCCCTGGCAGTACCTTAAAATAGATATTCCCTGATCAAAGAATGGTTACAAACAAAAGCAGACACAAAGCAATACTTTGTCCTTGGGCTCTGCCCATTTGTTTTTCTGACAGAAAGAAACTGGTCATACCAAGTCAGCAATTTAAAGAGTAATGTAATTAAATTGTTTTATGACAGGAAAACGCTCCAATGGTCAATCCTTTAATCTCTTGACAGACATTTTGGTCAGGTTTTACTGCCCTGGCAGTACCAGCAGTGTGCAGCTGATAGGCTTTTTTATAATGAGTGCATGAAAATGTCAGCATTGAATCACTTACCTAATATTGTGCTATTCTCAATCCCTGTGAAGACATTTTTTATTTTGTCTTTTGGGAATGCACTGTTTTTCCTTTAACAAAATATTTGTTCATGAGAGCCAGACAGGCTCTGGGCCACTTGGAGAACCTCAGTTTGAGTGTTCTTCCATTCAGTGACCTGAAAAGTTGAAATACACAACTCATGTGATGTGTTGACTTGACTTTTTTTTTTAAATGGCACAGCAGAGAAATGGCTTCT